CACCGACCGGGTGGCTCGCGCAATCCAAATATCTCGATTCAGGGAATTTTCGGACATTAGAATTTCTCAGCACATCCAATTTAACGCTTGTAAGATCCTTAAAACGGTAACAGTAATATACAGAATTGTCCCTTGGTTCGGCCGCAGAGGCCCAAAATTCACAAATTCGGCCTAAGGCCCGAAAATCACACTCTGGCCATAGAGGCCCGACAATTCACAATTCGGCCACAAAGGCCCGAGAATCACAATCAGGCCACAGAGGCCCAAAATTCACATTTTCGGCCACACAGGCCCGAAAATTCACGATCTGGCCACAGCGGCCCACAAATCACAAATCAGGCCACAGATGCCCAAAATTCACATTTTCGGCCATACAGGCCCGAAAATTCACAATCTGGCCACAGAGGCCCACAAATCACAAATTAGGCCACAGAGGCCCAAAATTCACAGCCCAAAATTCACATTTTCGGCCACATAGGCCCGAAAAATCACAATCGGTCCACAGAGGCCCAAAATTCACATTTTCGGCCACACAGGCCCGAAAATTCACAATTTCGACCCAAGGCCCGAAAATTCCCAACTTTGGCCTGAAAAAGATGATAATAATGCCATAAAGGTAGGCTTACCTAGGCGAAGATGCCAGTCACGGAGGCGTGAGTATCAGCGTCCGCCGTAAGCTTGACCTCGTCAAGAGAAATCCCCAAAGACTCCAGATATTCCTCACAGGTACCTCCTCAGTCCGCTCAGATCAGAGGAAAGCCATGAAAAAAAAAAAAAAAAGAAAAGAATTTTTGAATCTCAGGCTTAGAAGTTTGAGAGGAATTGAGAGAGTTCCTTAGGTTAGAAAAAGTCTAGAATCGAATGAAAATGAAGTTTTTTCAAGCTATTATAAAGACAAATAGTCAAGAGGCGGGGTCTTCTGGGACGCGCTTCCAGTTAAATAGTCAAGAGGCGGGTCTTCTGGACGCGTCTAGTTTTCGCCTACAAAATTTGCGTTTCAGACAACCACCGACTCCCATAAATCATTTTTATGGATGACGGTGGGGGGCAACTGTGAATACCCAAATTTTGAGGCTCAGAAACCCTGTTTTCCCGGATTGCAAACAGTCCGGCCGGATCGGAGGCTATTTCGGAAGTTCACCGAAAATATGTCAATATGGTACTTAAAACGTTTGAAATATCGCGAGGATCGCGGAACAGGTCCCGGAATATTTTTCGGAGGTCCGGAACTCCCAAAAAGGCCCTCGGAACGAGGCACAGTGTCCACACCGCCGGCGCCGGCCGCCGGGCACTGGCGCGGGCCTGCCGCCTGCCGCCAGGGCACGACGGCTCCTTCTTGCCGGCCACGGTGGAGCCGGGCCGGCCGGCACGGCGGCAGGCAGCCGCCGGGGAACGGCGGGACACAGTCCGCCCAGCCTTGGGCCAAGGCCTGCCGCCCAGCGCGGGCCGCAGGCCTGTTGACCTCCGCGCGGGTGAAGCTGCCGCCCAGCACGCGCGCGGGCCTGTCGCCCCGCGGCGAGCGGGGCGCTGGCCCCCCCACGCCCCTGGGCCGGCCCCACCTGCCGCCCAGCTTTGGCCGATCCACCTTGCCGCCCAGGGACCAGGCGCGTGGCCCTGGCCGCCCCACCGACTTGGTGGCGGCAAGCTGCCGCCCTCCCATGGGCGGCAGCTGCCGCCCTCCCAGGCGGCACCCCCGACCAGCGTGGGCGGGGCCTGCCGGCCCCACCGACAGAGCGGCAGCTTGGCGCCCTCCTGGGCAGCACCTTGCCGCCAGCTCAGGCGACCACCTGCCGCCCAGCCCCCCTGAGCTACTGGCGGCAGGCAGCTGCCGCCCTCGGGCAGCACCTGCCCGCCCGGGCACCGAAACATGGCTAATAAGCTAGGCCCTCTCATCTTTCAGCCATTTTCTGGGCGCCTTGTCTGGTTTTGACGACGACAATTCCCTTCTCCCTCTTCACCGCTCCCTTCGGCGGTCTTTCGTTTACCGCTTTTTTGCTATTTTAAACTTTTATTTTATTGGTTCTTACATTTATTGTGATATTGACCACTTAAAATTAAATAACCATTAAAACATTAATAATATACCCTAAAACGAGGAAGCCACTGTCAAACCTGGAGTTAAGAAAGTGGTCGCACGAAATTAAATCAAGGTATCGTAAACGGAAGACTACTGTTGCCATATTTTAATCTTTTAGCACTTCATGCATACTTCGTTTCTATTCATTAATAATATCTTATCTCTGCATAAAACGCAATTTCAAAACACTCAATATTTAGACAAATTAAACCGTCCTTAAATTAATTTTGCATTAAGCTCTAAATGCACCGTGTTAATCAATAAATCGTTGGTATTAAACAGTTTATAATCCGACAATATTAGCTAAAAGAGCCTAGTTAATTAATAACTACGGTTCAACTTGCCTTATTCTCGAACAAATCCTGCTGCTTAAGTCCAACTTAATCAATAATTTGTGGAAACTAAAAGCTCCTAATAGTCAACATTTCTTTGGCAAAATGCCTACAAAATCAACCTTTTCTCGGCTAGAAGATCGTTTAAACCGTAACCATTTTGATCGAAACGCTCTTAAAATCTAAATCTCCTTTTTCGACTAAAAGTCGATTAGAATTGGAACACATTTTTTGGCCATAAGGTCCCTCAAAATTCAACCATCGGCGACACATCACCTAAATCGCGCACATTTTAGGGCCAAAAGTACTAATGCCTAAAATTAATACCTTTGGCCAAAGGTCCTAAAATCAATTTCCATTTTTAGCGACAAAATTCGCTTAAAGATTCGACATTTTTTTTGGCAAATATGCCTTTAAAATTACAAACATTTTTCGGCCCGCAAGGCCGTAAAATTCGGAACATTTTTGGCAAATGCCCTTAAAAATGAACCAATTTTTCGGCCAAAGGCCTAAACGGTTCAATTGCCTTATTTCGAATAAATATGGTTTAAAGTCCAATTGATCAATAATTGTGGCTAAAAGCCTAAATCAACACTTTTCGGCCAAAGGCCTTAAAAATCAACCATTTTGGCGATAATCACCTAAATCTCACCCTTTGGCAAACAAATCGCCTAAATCGACATATTTTGGCCAAAGGCCTTAAAATCAATCTTTTGAGCGACAAATCGCTTAAATGAACCATTTTGGCACAAATGCCTTAAAATCAACAATTTTGGCGACAAATCGCTTAAATGAACCATTTTGGCACAAATGCCTTAGCATACACACAATTCATGCATAAAGCATACACACAAAAATGCACAAAGCAACTTACACCAAAATCATGGCATAAAGGCCACACACACCACAAAAAAAATGCAGCACAAGCATTACACCACAAAATGCAACATAAGCACTACACAAACAAATTCCATGCATTAAAGCCACACCACACAAAATGCACAAAGCATACACAAAATTCATGCCACTAAGCATACACCACACCCATGCATTAAGCCATATTCATGTCCAAAGCCCCTCTAAAAGAGGCCTATCGACTACCGATGACTTATGAATCTTACACCATATCCAACTGGAAAGATACGTAGAGCACAGGTCAGGGATTTTCACCCCGGGCTGGCAAGTCGAAAATCACTTAAACATTTCATTTGGTCGAATTACATCCCATTCACCCTGCACAAAACATCATTCATCGGTTGGTTTATCAGCCATGACATAGTCTCCGGGATCCCATCTCGGGTTCGTTAGATTGTGCCCTTAATCATTGGGGATTAATTAATCTGATTAACTAGGTTAAATTAAAAAATTGGAAGTCACTTAGGGGTTTCTTTTCTAGTTTTACCCTAACAACTAATCTTTAACAACGGGGTTGGCGACTCACACAACACTCACTGTATTAAACAAGGTGGCGACTCACACACATCACGTGTATTTCTTCTCATTCATCATATGCATCACATGCTTATGACATTTGGGGGAGGGGTTCACAATACCGCACATTTAAAAATTCTTCAATGGGTAATGTTTGGTTCCTAATCCAAAAACCAAATATAAAGGGGAGAACTTATAATAACTTATTGGCTTAATGTGAGTAAGTGTTATTAAATTTAATAGCATGTCCTTCTAAAAAAATAGGAAGCTCGGTTCTCATAATAATCGTTGCAATTAATTGCAATTATTTAACAAATGATTATACTAAATCATTTTGAGCATAAATAAAAACAACAACTGGTTGCCTTATAATTATTTCAATCAACACATGTCATAATCATTAAAGGCCTGATGTGTAAATTCACCATCATTCTCAAGATAAATTAGCTTAACAACAACTGGTTGCCTTATAATTATTTCAATCAACACATGTCATAATCATTAAAGGCCTGATGTGTAAATTCACCATCATTCTCAAGATAAATTAGCTTAATAACAAAATCTGAAAGTTATGTGCTTAATCAAATTATTTGTGCAAATAATTATGCAAACTTTAGGTTGCATGTTGATAATAATCTTTACAAACTTCAAGTTGCAAGTTAATACTAATCATGTAACTATCTTTTGGATGCATCCATAATATATCCAAAGAAATTGATCAATTATTTCCATTTGTATATTTTATAAAATACAAGCAGTTCAATTTGAACTCTTGGTGATCGCTCAAAAATTAATTTGCTTTGAGAACAAACTAAATATGAAAAATTTATTACAGTTGAAGAAACTTCTGGTTCTTCAATAAATATCCATATAAGGTTTAAACTTTCCTTTTCACACCATTATTGATCGGGATGGTCCAACCGATCATTCCAAATAATAAAGTACTTAGATTTGTCAACTTCTAGTCTACAATCATATTTATTTCAATCATTATCTCTATATGATATCCATTTTGATTAATATCTAGAATGATGCATTTTGCATAAAAATCCATTCCTTTAGATAGTAATACTTGCTCTCCCGAGCTTTTAAATATTTTTTACTATCAAAGCCAAATTTGTCTTTCAATAAAACAATTCTTTTACTCTACAAACTGGTATCAGAGCCCCCGCTGGGCCTGATAAAATAGAGAGAGAGAGAGAGAGAAACATAGTAAGATGAGTGAAGAGAAGAGTTCTACAAAGATTCCACACTTTGATGGTCTCCACTATGACCATTGGAGTGAATTAATGGAGAATTTACTCAAAGCCAAAGGGTTGTGGAGTCTAGTTGAAAATGGATTTGAAGAGACTCAGCCAGGAATAATGCTGAAAAATGCACAGTAGGAGCAGTTGGAGAATGAGAGGATGAAAGATCACAAGGTGATTTGAAGAGACTCAGCCAGGAATAATGCTGAAAAATGCACAGTAGGAGCAGTTGGAGAATGAGAGGATGAAAGATCACAAGGTGAAACACTACCTCTTCCAACCTATTGATCGAGCAGTTTTCGAACAAGTTTTCGATAGGTGCACATCCAAAATTGTTTGGGATTCATTGAAAAGCAAATTTGGAGGGAATGTTTCAAAACCTTTAAGAAGATGGTGGAAAAAGAAGCAGAAGAGTCCATCAAATGTTTAAGAACAGATAGAGGTGGCGAGTTCACTTTATTCAATTTCAAAGCATTATTTGAAGAACAAGGGATCAAACGACAACTTACTACCGCCTACACACCTCATCAAAATGCTGTTGCTAAGAGGAAGAACAGGACAGTAATGAACATGGTACAGAACATGCTAGCCGTTAAGAAGGTGCCTAAAATATTCTGGACTGAAGCTGTAAACTGAACGTTTTACTTGCTGAAGCAGTGTCCTACTTTTACGTTAAAAAACATCACTCTTCAAGAAGCATGGAGTGGAGTGAAACTATCAATTGATCACTTTCGAGTATGGGGTTTTGTGGCACATGTGCACATTTCGGAAGCAAAGCGAGGTGAATTAGATGATAAAAGTTTTCCTCGTATTCTTTTGGGTGTTAGTGAAGAGTCGAAAGGATATAGGTTATTTGATCCTAAGACTAAAAAAATTGTAGTTAGCAAGGATGTTATTTTTGAGGAAGAAAGGAGCTAGGAATGGGAAAAAAAGTTTCAGGAGCAAATTAAGGCAGAGTTAGTATGGAGAGATGATGAACTTAGTGATAAAAAAAATGAGGGAGAAATATAGGTGAGGAAAATGATAATGGTGATGGTGAAAAAGTGAGGCAGAAATATAGGTGAGGAAAATTGATAATGGTGATGGTGTGGGTCATGGGGTAGTGATATGTAGATTCGGATAATAGTGATTTAGAAATAATGAGGGTGGTGAAAATAGATGAAGCCTCAGGAATGGAGACGCAGCCTTCCCTTTAGGCTGTGGTAGCTTTCAAGGAGAGAAAGAAGGCACGCCAACGCATGGGATGGGGTGGATCTAAGTGTCAACAGAGAAGGAATAACCACGTTGGAAGGTTGAGGAAGCAGGCCCTATTCATGATACAAGATTATTCAGTTCGAAGACCCCAGTGTTATTCGAGATGCTGTGAAACAAGAAAAGTGGGGAGAAAACTATGGACAATGAAATAAACTCCAATTGAAAAAAAAATCAAGATTCGAAGATGCTGTGAAACAAGAAAAGTGGAGAAAAGCTATGGACAATGAAATAAACTCCATTGAAAAAAATCAGACTTGGAAGCTCATGGACCTGCCACCTGGATCTAAAACCATTGGTGTTAAGTGGATCTTCAAGACAAAACTGAACGAGCACGGTGAAATTGACAAGTATAAAGCTCGACTGGTGGCAAAAGGATACTCTCAATAGTAAGGGATTGATTTCAATGAAGTTTTCGCTCCAGTGGCTTGATGGACACTATAAGAATGATTGTGGCACTTGCATCATGCAGAGGGTGGAACATTTTTCAATTAGATGTCAAATATGTGTTTCTCTACGGTGAACTCTAGGAGCACGTATACATTGAGCAACCAA